TATCCTCATAATAAGTCCGTATTTCGACACACATTTGATGCGTGTTGAGATCGTCTTTTGAAGGTTTTCCTAGATTTAAGGCGTCTTAAGTCCTAATTTTAGCTCAAATCATATTATACCGGGTGTTGGTTCGAGTTTGGTATTTTCGGAGTCAAAATCAGGGAATTTGAGCCCAGCATCGGGCCATCAACGCTTGAGAAGAAATCGGGACGAGTCAAGATGAATTCGAGAGAGATTTGAGAGATTTGGAGGTCACCGGGAGGTTCACGATGAAGATTTGATTATAAAAGATCTCTAGGATTGGCAGTGAGATCAAAAGAAGACGAATAAAGCTTGAAAACGGCGATCAGGATGACGTTCTATCAATTGTTCAAGCATATCTTTTTGTAGAAAAGTCCAATGTACACGATTAAAGTTCCATATGAAATCCAACTTCAATGGCTACAAATCATATGAAGACATCATTGCGAGAATATGAGAGGAGCAAGGTGAAAAAAGATGAAGAAGTCAGATAATCGCTGTTGAGATTTCAGAATGCAATCTTCCACCATTTTATTCATATCTTTTGATTGGATGATTCAAATCCAGTTTTGCAAGTCGTAGTGGATAGAGGACTGCATTATCTACAACTTTCATGAAGGAAGCATTATCAAATTCGGAAGGGAAGGGCATGTCGTGCACCCAAAGTCAGGCACGCCGTGCCCTCTGAAGGAAACAACGCGGAGCTACTGCCAGTCAGGCACGGTCGTGCCTGACCCCGAGACGCGACTCTTCCGCAGACACTGAGGCTAGGCACGTCGTGCCTAGGGCCGTGCCTGCCCCGGAAAATCCTAATTTGACCTGAATTTCCCCGTTTTCTTTAAATAAGGCCTCTAACCCCCTATTTTGAGGTTACGAAGCTTAGAGAGAGTGCCTAGCACGAAGTTTAGAGAGCTTTTCAGCCTTGTTCATCAATATTTTGGGATTCTTTGTAAGTTCCATCTTTTTAATTAATGACAATTAATTCTTTCTTTCCCAATTCTATTGATTCTTCAATTATGAATTGTGAGTAGTTTTAATTAGGGATTTGGGATTGATGAAGGAGTTATTCATGATGTATGGCTAGTTACTTGATGGTTTAACTTGCATGAATCTTTATTTAATTTGTGCATGAATGATTTAATTGATATCTCTTATAACCTAGAATGGCCACTAGGATTATAATTGCATGTAGAATAAATTAAGATAGATCTAATTTATTCTAGGACACTTTCACACACACTTAATCGTTCACTAAGAAATTAGTAGCAATTAAGGGGCCGTACGCTCCTCGTTTTGGCAATAATTTTATATACATGTCGCATGAGAGATCAGTCTGGTTCCCTAAATTATTGTACTCTACGCCGCGAGAGCGGTTAGAACTGCCAGAAATCTGAGTACCGTTGCTCAATTAAATAATTTTAATGTGATTAAGTTTGATCTGCCAGAAATCTGAGTACCCTGGAATCAATCCATGTTCCCTTCATCATTATTTAGAGAGAGCCCATTTATTTTAATAGTTTAGTTGTATTTTAATTTTCCCACAACCAATCAATCTCGCACAATTGCATTTTTATTTTATTTCTTTTAATCGCTGAATTTAATTAATTCCTGATTCCTTTTTTCCGTCCCTATGGAGACGATACTCGTACTTACACCCTTTACTACGATCTATTTTAAGTGCGAGAAAACTCACATCACCTTATATTTTAAATAAATAAAATAAATTTTAAATTAAAAAAAAGTAAGTTATAAATTGAAAACTCAAAATTGAAAAAAAAAACATGAGAGATAAATATTTACTTTTATGTCAAAATATCAACCCTTTCTTTTAAGAAATAATTCTATAAATATTATTCTTTAAAATGTGATACACACAAATATCACTTAGTAACTATTAGTGACTACACTTGTGTTCAAAATTTACATCGTGTTAACTAAATGTAAGTTACTGTGATGTAAACTTTGAACACAATTATAATTACTAACAGTTATCAAATCACATTTTGGTTCATAACATTTTTATTAGTAATATTTAAGGAACCAAATTGGATCATTTAGAGAAATAATAATTAGATAAAAGTAGGATAAATTCTTACTTCATATTAATAAAAAAAAAGGAGACTAAATTGGAATTGGAAGTAAAATTGACATGACTCACATCCTTAATATACATACTAAAATGACCATTTTGCCATTGAGCGACACACATTTCTCTCCTATCGGTCATTGCCGCGCCTTCATTCTGTTGACCTCGACATTCCCTATCACCGATCTCAGTTTAATTGTGGGGAGCCGAACATGAATTGTCCATGTTGGGGCGCTGACGAGATTAATACCAAATTGAAGGGACGAGGTCAAATACCAAGTGATGCCCTATCATCGCCCTTGGAAAGATTTGACTTGTCCTCAAGTCAACCCATTGCTTCTTCAAAAGGAAAGCCCTTCCATTGTACTAAAAATTGTACTTGCACCCTATTCTAGAACCTGACACTCCTTATGTCCAGAATCTTTTTAGGCTGAGGCAAGAGTTATGCAGGTTGTCCTCTGAACCATGCAAGAATGTGAGCAGCCAAATGTAGTTCCTTAACCTGAAATATGGTCCTAAGAACATGGGTGCTAACTTCTGATTATTCCTTGTTAGCACATATTGTCGTATGTAGGGTTGTAGCTTCAATCACACCCAATCTCCTACAAAAATTACTCTTCCACTCGTCCTTTTGTCAGATAAATGTTTCATCCTTGATTGAGCCTTCTAGAGATTTTTCCTGAATCTTCTGATCATTTCCTGCCTTGTCATTTATCTATCCACAACTTCAAAATTAGTTTTGTTCAAACTTGTGTTGCATTAAGAATAGTCAATCAGCTTGGAGAGTTCAATAACTAAAGGTAGTAGCGACACAAGTTGATTGAATAACAAAAATTGATTGACTATTTTTAATGCGACAAAACTAATTTTGACGGCCTCTAGTAAAAAATAAAACTACATGTAACTCAGCTCGACCATCTATAGGAAAAGGCTTAGTTTTGCCTCCAACCGGCAAATGAAGTACTACTCCCTGTTTTGCCAATCATTCCTAAATACAAACCAAATCAAATTATCCTATCTTTCTAAGCACGTTGAGCGAGACAAAACAAACTAGAGCAGCAAAGCTCATGAACGAAGTGCGACAGCCTACAGAGCTACATGAACACAATGAAAGGGTAAAAATGTGCAGAGAGTTGAAGTGACAGACGACAACACCAAGACTTTGTCATTACTCTGTTGAAACTAATCCAACATGAACTTAGTATAAATATAACATTCTATTTTAACGTGGAAACCCGAAAAAAATGAAAAACCACATGACTTTTTGGGTTAATGTCCAAACAAACTTTCTTCATATTAATCTTTCCTCACTATTTTCATAAGTACAAGACTACAAGTGTTAGAGCCTTGCAAGCCATTATTGGAGCTCCAAAGATTTTGTATAGAGAGGAAGAAAATTAGAAGAAGACCAGAGTTAAGAATAACTAAATCAGCTATAGCAGAGTGTTTTTGTGCAACAATAGCAATATATTATTGTGTAGCCATAATATATAGTTATTCTCGTTTGCATAGTTTTTAATTAAAAAAAAACTAAGAAAAAGAATTAGAATATTCATTTTTTAGTTTAATGTACCATTATATTTGTAGTGATATTTGGAATCTAATACTACATACCATTATAACTTATCTTTTTAATGTCATACTCCCACTATCTCAAATTAAACTTCCGACTCTTTTGGACGTCCCAACTAAAGGTTTTCATTACATTTTTAGAAAATAATTGTCATTCTTAAATGACATCTTAATCATCAAATATTAAAAATAACATAACTATAACATTACATTTATCATCAATAGTCGCATTATATCATATATGCATTAAAATTACTTCTCAAAATAAATTCAAATAATCTTATTTAATTATTGTCTATATAAATATGTCATTTTCAATGAGAAGCTTAACTCGGAACGGAGATTATTATTTATTTATTTATTTATTTATTGTACCATAAAGTGTTCTTTCTTTTATAAAGTTCAGTGATACACACACCTCTGGTAATATAGAAGAATTTAGATTGAATACTTCTTGAACATATATACATCTAGCTCTATAGTACATAGTACTCTCATTCTGTTGAAAAGTTCTCATGAAAAACGACACAATTATTTAGACAATAATTAAATAAGGTAATTCGTGTATATTTTGAAGAAATAATTTTAATGGGTATGTAATATAACAGTTAGTATTGATAACCGTGATGTTATAAATGTATTATTTTTAATATTTAATGATTAAATTGGTATTTAAGATTGTTAATTGTTTCCTAAAATTAAAATGAGAACTTTTATATGGGACATCCAAAAAAAGGAAAGTGAAAACCTTTCTATGGGACGAAAGGAGTACTATACAAGCATGAAAACCGAAGTGCATACTATACATCGACAAAACAGAATGCTTGAATTATGACTTATGGTAATGCTTGAAAACCCTTGTCTCTCAAGCATTTGTAGGAGGTACAGAAGTAGAAAACAACTATCACTCTAGTAAAAGTTTAAAAACTGAAGTTGCAATGCTATTTATGTTCAAATAAAATTCATGTACTTTGCTATATGAGGATCAATAACAGTTGGTGAGCCCGACGCAGAACTGGATAATAAAGGCTACTGTCACAGTTCCCTCCTGTCAATGACCAGGTCCTTTCGGTTCAAAGTCGGACCACACTGCATCCACCATGGTCAAATGTGGGCATGGGCTAGTTGTGTGCACAACAAGTACAACAAAAGCTACCAAAACTGGTAGACGAATTAAGTGATTAACAATTGAAAAACTTGTTTGTGTATGTTTTTGTCAAGTACTTTGGGTACTTGTAGCATTAAGTGATTAACGATTGCTTGATCTACTATGTAGTAGCATCCACATTTAATCTTTGTATTACCACCAGCACCAGAGAGATTGCAACGAATGATTTTAAGCAGGTTGAAGTACCAAAAAGAAGAAGATGGGGATAACTACATTGCTGAAAACAACTCATCGAACGGCATTTGTTAAAGATACTAGCAGCAAATAAATAGTAAGAATTCCTCCTCGCCTCAGCTCAGTTCTAATAATAACAGCAGCTACATTCAAAATTACAAAACATATTGGGATTCCCTGCTGCCGCTGAAACGAGTGGTTGACAAATATGTTGACGCAAAGACTTCGCCCCCCTAAGCAGCACAACCTCCACAAACTATACCCCTCCTGTTTGTTGCATATACACGCAAACAAAAAGAATCACATATCCACACAAGACATGCCCCCCAGCCCAGTGGGGTGGGGTCTATGCAAATCTTCAAAATTAAATAGACTACAAGTTATATTAGTTCAATTTTCTTTGAACCACCACGTACTGGCCGACCTAAGGTCAGATTTGTGCAAATTTTCACCTCATTTTTCTTACTTTAAAGAAGATTAAGTTACTGTTTGTTAATAAGCAAGTAACGCATGCTTACTTCTTTATAAATGAAAGCATTTATAAATCCAACTAACTAACAAACTATTCAGGGACTCTTACACTATTGAGAAGCTGCTATTTTTGCGCCTTTTCTTGCTTGCAACTTCCTTCCTCCTTGGAGGTTGAAGCACAACCTTAACTGCAGTGTCAAATACTGCTTTCACATTCTACAAAAGGTGTGTTTGGATGGTTAAAGGCTGCAGAAGATATACCACCATGTGGAAATGGATTATAAACAGCTGTAATTAACCTGCTGAGTTTTAGAGCTACACTCTATGTATGCTGATGCACCAATTTGCCTTCTTAGTTCCTCACCCTGCATTTTTGTTTTCCTTACAAGTCAAATTAAACCAAATTGTGAAGATTCTTACAGTTTATAGGCAGCAGGAACACATATTACACTATTGGAACATACTTGAGATGGTGTTATAATGTTAGAGCCCATATGATCAGCCAGATATCTATTGTCATCACGAAGATCTGTGGCAGAGAAAGGAATAAAAGAAACAGGGTGGTCAATTCCATTATATATAGAAGCATTCAAAATTGATTGATCAAACTATAGATTACTAATCCTTTCAAAGCATTCCTCTCCAAAACCTGCAGAGTGTATGGAGCGTACCTAATTTTGTTCCAACAAGAACAATTGGAACATTGGGTGCAAACCGGCGAAGTTCAGGCATCCACTGGAAAATTTAAGGAAAAAACATACAGAAGATGCTGATCATCAAAGTTGAACAAACATATATGAGACAGTAAGTACATATTCTGCTTGTGATTTCTCTTATCATCAAGAGTGAGCCAATAATCATAATCCCATTGGAGTAATGGAAAACGAACAGGTGGTTTAAAATAGGGTAAAATAAAAGTACAAAGATGATACCTTTTTTATAACATTTTCATAGCTTGCCCTGCTGATTAATGAGAAAGCTAATACAAATATGTCTGCACCTCTATAACTCAATGGTCTCAATCTGCTGTAATCTTCCTGCCCTTTAAATCAGAGATAACCAAATCAGTTTGAACTGTGAAAGGAATCAAACCAAGAGCCCTCAACACATAACAACAACAACAAGAGAATAATAACAATCCCTTAATAGAATAAAAGAAAGCAAATAACAAGTGGAGATGTGTACCAGCAGTATCCCATAATCCCAGGTTAACAATGGTACCATCCACAGCAACGTTTGCACTGAAATTGTCAAACACTGTTGGAATGTAATCCTAAAAAAATGGAAAGAGTGGAAGTGCATGAGATACAGCACAAATATCATTTCCAAAGTATTGAAATGGAATAATCAGATTTGTCATGGAAGACCTAGAGAAAAGAAAATGTTAAATAAAGCTAATATCTTCTTCGACCATCCAAATGAGAGGTTCAAGGATCTCAAGCATCCAAACGAAATAATCAGATTAGACTTACATGACCTAAACAAAAGAAAATGATAAATAAAGCTCACATCTTTTTCAATAACCGCGTTTGTTGAAACCAGAGTTACAGCAAATATTAAATCTTTACAAACTCATCAGTGCTGGAACAGAAATGAGCGACTTCAGGAAATTGCACAAAATAAATACAAAAAGGTGGGGTGGGGGTGGGGGACTGGGGATAGAGAAGAATTACAGTTGGGAACTTGTTACTGGTATAGCAAATGAGCATGCATGTCTTCCCCACAGCTCCATCGCCAACAGTCACACATTTGATGAACTTTGAAGCATTCATCTCCCTCCCTCACCTTCTACAGTACACACCCTTTGACCTCAAAGTAGAAAATGGGAAAGTTCAAGAGAGAAAGGGGACAAGTAGAAAAGGACAGTTTCATGGAATCAAACAAGAGTGTGATGTTACTAGGCTAGTTTTTATAGAGAGAGAGAGAGAGATTGAAGCCCCCCCTTTTTTTTCAATTTCAAGAAATAAAAAACAGTAAAGGAATACACTAGAGAAGGACTGAGACGTTGAAGGAGTTGAGTCAAAGGGGCAATGCAACTTTTTTTACATGCCACTCAACGAATTTGAAAAAAAGACTTTGAATTTCCGGAAAAGCTAACATGGGGCAGGGGACCCATGTGTTCCCAAACGGCTCCATACGCCTTTTGTTAGTTGTACTGGCAGCTGGGTTCCATTTATGGTGTTTGTACAATTTGTTTGCTCTCTCTCGTGTTTTTCTATATACCAGATTCTAACTGGTTGTCGGATTCCCTCTACCCATCCACACCGAACACGGGAAGAAAATGTTGACCGCCCAAATCTTCTGTTACGCCGTGATATTAAGTTTGAAATAATAATGAGCCTTATAGGGAGTACGGCACTATATTTATATTTATTTATACCCCACTGTAAATTAAAAATCTTCTCATTGTTGGAATATTTCCAATTAATGTGGCCTTAGGACCAATATTAATATGTGTTCTATATTTATGTATTGTATATATAATTATGTATTTTATATATATTTATGTATTATTTGATGGAAATAATACTCAAGGGATACCATTGTGGTAACACCCTTTAGGACAAGAATGAAGAGTTGTGACTATTGAGTATTCTCATTATAAATACCCTTTCTCCCTTCTTTGAAACATACGTACAAACCAACACCATCATCAAGGGAGTATCACAACTCTTAATTATACACTCCATCTATTATGTGTCCTAAGAGGGATTACACATCCATTTACTATCAAGGGCAACAATGGCTTCTTCATCAACTAATCATGGTCTAGCAAAAATTGGCTTCCCGTCATGTAAGTTTATCTATATGATGAACTTGTATATGATAATAATATATAATATGTTGTGTGATGTGTAGATCTTGGTTCTTATGTATTGAATTAATTAACATGTGGTATCAGAGCTTTCATATAACATCACACACACTGTTGAATTTACATCATATTATCATATACGGAGGAAGATCATACGTAAATTTGTATTCCATGACGAAACGTGATAGTAAGTGATAAAACATGATAGTATGTATTCTGTTTATATAGATCATACGTAAATATATATTTTCTTTCCACTCTAACGTTGGAATCCTGATAAAACATCAAAATGTGTGGTGAAATGTAAATTGAACATTAGCATAAAAGAAACTTTGCAGAAGAAATCATTTCTTCTCTAAAAGAGTCTGGCCGCCCGGCGGCCATTGCCGTTGCTCTGTTTCTGCCGCTAATCAGTGGCCGATAGGTTGTGACGGTCACCGGCGGGTTGTGATGGTTACCGGTGAGTTGTGACGGTTACTAGCGATTGGTGACGGTTACTTAATTACAATTACGGTTACCGCCGGCCATTTTAACGGTTGTTTGCGGTTTTAATTTTAAAACAGCAACTTAAAATCTTATGTCAACCGTATGACTTGCTGCATGTTACGTATGCATAGCATTAAGGAAAAGCAGTATGTTAAGCGTCATCCATGCTAATCCATATTTGACATCCTGGAGCATATATATAATGACATGATGATATACTTGGTATTAATTAACAATGATATGTCCTGCATATGCATTATACATTATGTATAATTGCATGTAGAAATAAACAAACAAAATAATAATAATAATAATAATAATAATAATAATAATAATAATAATAATAATAATAATAATAATAATAATAATAATAATAATAATAATATATACGAAGTAGCATGTTAAGCATATTTTTTGTGCATACACCCTTCACCGGGTTATGCGGCGGCGGAAACCTCACCGCTGGTGGTCTAATGGACATTGCCGGTCTTTATCAGTGGGTTACATGGCGGCGGAATAATTTCTTCAATAATATGAAGTACATATTTTAGCCACACTTATTTATGGAAAATACATTTATAACATCTAATATCGGCCCAACGGAAGATATTAGATTAAACATAAACAATTTCACCATTATTAGTAAAATGGTTAAACTATTTTTTATGCTCTTGATTATTGCACTAGAGCTTAATAAGTGATTTTTTGCATTATTATTCAATGAACCCAAAGGCTAGTTGTTTGATAGTGTAATTAATCATTGTATATATTAGCCTAAATGCATGAACATTATGATTCTGCCCAAAGGTGATTTTAATGTTTGTGTGGCGTAGTTTAACTTGTTATATGTCATTATGCATGATTGTTAGTGATAGCCAACGCGAAACTAAAAATCAAGCATGACATTAGTATACCTATTTCTTTGGTGTTATTAATAGGTTTAATTATATGACATTTAAAATATCCTTATTTAATCCCTTTATTCCTATATAGTTTCTTTTACGCATATGTCTAACTCTTTATACTCCTTAGCATCCACTGTTACTTCGAATTATGGAATTGAACCACTTACCGGCACTAACTTCACCTCATGGAAAGACAATGTTAAGCTCACCCTTGGAGTTATGGACCTCGACCATGCTTTGAGGTATGACCCCCCTGAACCTTTGACTGCTGAATCAACTCATGAGCAGAAAAGGTTTCATGAAATTTGGGAGAGGTCAAACCGTATGTCACTAATGATAATCAAGAACTCAATTTCAGTAGCAATTCGCGGTGCTATCCCTGATTCGGATAACGCGAAGACATACATGGACTCGGTCGAGGAACAATTTAAGGGCACCTCCAAGGCTCATGCAAGTACACTGATCTTGAAGATGTTGACCACAAAATACAATGGTACTAGTGGTGTGCGTGAGCACATTATGATGATGAGTGATATGGCAAATAAGCTCAAAGGCATGGATATGGAGATAAGTGAGGGCTTTCTCGTCCACTTCATCATGACTTCTCTTCCCACACAGTTTGGCCCTTTTAAGATCAACTACAACACTCAAAGGGAAAAGTGGAAAATGAGTGAGTTGATAGCCATGTGTGTGCAAGAGGAGGAACGCCTGAAAGTTGAGAAACCGGATGTTGCTCATGTCACCACTACTTCAAGCTCATTCAAAAGAAAGGGTAAGTCTCAAGTTGGAGAGAGTTCAAAGGTTCCTAAGGCAAGTACAAGTGCAACGTCTGGCTCAAAAGGGGTTTTGAAACAACTTCGTTGCAAATTCTGTCATAAGAAGGGACATTATCAACGAGATTGTTCCAAGTTCAAAGCATGGCTTGCAAAGAAAGGTAGTCATGATTTGTTTATGATCTATGAGTCTTTTAATATAAATGTTCCCGCTAACTCATGGTGGCTTGATTCTGGTTCCATGGTTCATGTCACAAATTCTTTGCAGGGATTCCATACAATCCAACAACTGCATCAAAGCCAAAGGACAATTAAAGTAGGGAATGGTGAAGACTTAAATGTTGAAGGTGTAGGATCACTTTCATTAATGTTAGAAAGTGGTCATAGTTTAAGTCTTAAAAACATTCTTTATGTTCCTAATATTACTAGAAACTTAATATCTGTATCGAAGTTAGCATATGATGGCTACACTTTTATGTTTGGATACAATAATGTTGTAATAAGTTTCAATAATAATGTTGTTGGCTATGGTTGTATGGATGATTATCTTTATAAATTGTCTCTTGATAATCATTTTATGGAGTCCTTACTATCCTGCAATATTGATGAATGTGTGAGCAAAAGGAAACGAGAAGGGGAAACTTCGTCTAAATTATGGCATCAACGCTTAGGCCACATTTCCCGAGATAGGATGGTACATCTCATAAAAGATGGAGTCTTACCACCTTTAGACTTCTCTGATTTCAACACATGCATTAAATGCATAAAAGGAAAATTGGCAAAAGGGAATAAGAAAGGATCCACACGTAGCTCAAGGTTGTTGGAAATAATACATACTGATATTTGTGGACCTTTTCCCGAAGGCATTGGCGGACATAGATCATTTATTACCTTCATTGATGATTACTCGCGATATATGTACTTGTACTTGATTAAGGAGAAATCCGAGTCACTTGATATGTTTAAGACTTTTAAGGCCGAAGTTGAAAATCAACTTGACCTAAAGATAAAAGTTGTGAGATCGGATAGAGGCGGTGAGTACTATGGTAGACACACCGACATTGGTCAATCTCCTGGTTCTTTCTTTGAATTTTGTAGAAAACATGGGATAGTGAACCAATACACCATGCCAGGTACTCCTCAACAGAATGGCGTTGCCGAGAGGAGAAATAGAACTCTTATGGACATGGTGCGGAGTATGATGGCAAACTCCACATTGCCTCAATACTTATGGACAGAAGCATTAAAAACAGCAGTTCATATCTTGAATAGGGTTCCTTCAAAATCTGTCTCTAAAACTCCTTATGAATTATGGATAGGAAGAAAACCAAGTTTACGCTACCTCAAGGTATGGGGATGTCCAGCTGAAGCTAAACTCTATAATCCCCAACAAAGAAAACTTGACATGAAAACTGTCAGTTGTTCTTTTATTGGATATCCCGAACGTTCTAAGGGATACCGATTTTATTGCCCTTCACAAAGTACACGCATTGTTGAGACAAGACATGCTGAGTTCCTAGAGAACTCTAACATGAGTGGGAGTTGTTCACCTAATGTTGTTGATCTCCAAGAGATGGGGGAGGAGAGTACAACGGTTATACCGATCCCTATTATGCCTAATACATCTCTTGAGGATGATATTGCCTCAAACATACCATTTAATGAAGGAACATCAAATTTTGAGGCAAATGACAACATAAATCAAGCCGATTCAATTCCAGAGATTCAAGTAGAATCTCATGAGCCGGAACTGCCACTAAGGAGATCTCATAGATCTAGACGCCCTACTAATTTTGATGATTACGTCATATACCTTAATGAGGCTGTCAGTGACTTGGGAAAATGTAACGATCCCATGTCATATAATGAAGCTATTATGAGCGACCAATCTTCTCATTGGAATGAAGCTATGATTGATGAGCTTGATTCCATGAGTAAGAACAATGTATGGGAACTTGCTGAATTACCTAAGGGTGTTAAACCCGTAGGATGCAAGTGGGTCTTCAAAACCAAACTTGACCCGAAAGGAAACATTGAACGTTATAAAGCAAGGTTGGTTGCGAAGGGTTATACCCAAAAGGAAGGAATTGACTATCAAGAGACTTTCTCGCCGGTTTCGAGAAAGGATTCCTTGCGGATTGTCATGGCCTTAGTAGCTCATTTTGATTTAGAACTACATCAAATGGACGTCAAAACGGCATTTCTTAATGGAGACTTACATGAGGATGTGTATATGTCTCAACCAGACGGTTTCAAGTCTAAGGGACATGAACACCTAGTTTGTAAACTTAAGAAATCAATTTATGGGCTCAAACAAGCATCACGTCAGTGGTACTTGAAGTTTGATGAAGTCATCAAGAAAAATGGCTTCATAAAGAATCAAGTGGATCAATGTATATATCTGAGAATGAGTGGGAGCAAGTTTGCCATTCTAGTACTTTACGTTGATGATATTTTGTTGGCAAGTAACAACTTAGATATGTTGCATGAGTCGAAGCGATTACTCTCACGTAATTTTGACATGAAGGATCTTGGAGAAGCCTCTTATGTGATAGGCATAGAAATCCATCGAGATCGCGCCAATGGGACTTTAGGTTTGTCTCAAAAGGCATACATTGAACGTGTTCTTACGCGTTTCAATATGCAACATTGTTCCCCATCAGTTGCTCCAGTAGTTAAGGGAGATGTTTTTGGTTTATTTCAATGTCCAAAAACTGAAGCAGAAAAGGAGCAAATGAGGCTTATCCCCTATGCATCAGTAGTAGGGTGTTTGATGTATGCTCAAGTTTGTACTCGTCCTGATATCGCTTATATATCTGGCATGTTAGGCAGGTATCAATCTAACCCTGGCCTAGATCATTGGAAAGCCGCTAAGAAAGTCTTAAGATATCTTCAGGGGACAAAAGATTACAAACTTGTTTATAAAAGAACTAAAGATTTGGAAGTTGTGGGATTTTCCGATTCTGACTTTGCTAAATGCAAAGACGATAAGAAGTCGACATCGGGATATGTTTTTATGATGTCAGGTGGGCCAATATCATGGAGGAGTCATAAACAAGAATTGACTACCACCTCAACTATGATGGCGGAATATGTTGCGGTTTACAATGCAACATGTCATGGAATGCTATTGAGGAATCTAATTAAAGGACTCAAGGTAGTAAACTCCATTTCGAGACCACTGAAGATTTATTGTGATAATTCTGCAGCCGTGAGCTTTTCAAATGGAAATAGTTCGAGCGGGGCTGGATTATATCTTGATACAAAGTTCCTGTTTGTACGTGAACGAGTGGAAGAAAATAATCTTTGTATCGAGTACATTAGCACTCATGATATGCTAGCGGATCCGATGACAAAAGGTCTACCACCCAAGATTTTTCAAGAACATGTGATGAAAATGGGTTTTAGTCGAGACCTCACTTAATTGGCATAGTGCTCTTATGAACAATTCATGTATATAAATAAATACTTGAATTCTTAATTGTCTATTATATGTATACCGTGCGCACTTATTTTGGTATCATAGACAAATTAATATTAATTACCACATTACATTTGATCATTTATGTTTAATGATCTTAAATTCCTAATACATGTGCTATAATATGATTAGTGGGGGTCCCGTATCTACATAGATGCGTGTGACTGTACTTCTCTATTATGGTGTAGATATTGGGTATGTAGAACACATTCTTGGCCAACTTAATGATTATTGGTCACCAGGCCAAGTGGGAGAATGTTGGAATATTTCCAATTAATGTGGCCTTAGGACCAATATTAATATGTGTTCTATATTTATGTATTGTATATATAATTATGTATTTTATATATATTTATGTATTATTTGATGGAAATAATACTCAAGGGATACCATTGTGGTAACACCCTTTAGGACAAGAATGAAGAGTTGTGACTATTGAGTATTCTCATTATAAATACCCTTTCTCCCTTCTTTGAAACATACGTACAAACCAACACCATCATCAAGGGAGTATCACAACTCTTAATTATACACTCCATCTATTATTTGTCCTAAGAGGGATTACACATCCATTTACTATCAAGGGCAACAATGGCTTCTTCATCAACTAATCATGGTCTAGCAAAAATTGGCTTCCCGTCATGTAAGTTTATCTATATGATGAACTTGTATATGATAATAATATATAATATGTTGTGTGATGTGTAGATCTTGGTTCTTATGTATTGAATTAATTAACACTCATTTCAAAAGGTAGTGGATTAAGAATAGTGAACCAGGATACGAATTATTGAGGGTATGATGGGAAGTAAGTGAAATAATGTGATGGAATATAGGATAAATCCAAAAAAATAATTGTAATAGTGTATTATTTTCAAAATTATTGAGGGTATGATGAGAAGATTAAGAAATGAGATTTTTTTTTGTTACGGACGAAAAATGAAAGTGGAAAGATTTTTTTGTTACGGAGAGAGTAATAATAAGTGAAAATTATTCTTCATCTTGAAGCTAAGACTTTGTTTGAATGGATTAGATTTCCATTATTTTTGTGTACACATAAACGTAAAGATTTGTGTACAACCTCCTAGTTACATATGCACACATGCAGCTTCTGAACGAGATGTTTGTGTACACGGGCAACCAGGGTATATACAAAATGTGTATAGATTATATGTACAAATAGTTTTTCCTTAAATGTATATGATCCAGCTTGATTTAGAATGTTTTTAATTGGATTTAAAATTTCAAATCTAATTTGGAATGATCTTGTCTATGCTGGTCTAACCTTATCAAGTCTAGTAAATGTATATTCTATGGGTATTTTAATTTACAATTTTTGAAATCTGATTTGATTTGAACTAGTATGTTTAATTTTTGCTTAGGAGACTAGATCAATCGAGCCATAAACACCCAATAGTTGATTTGATTTGTTCTTACAATTATTAGCCCCAGGGGTGTCTTTAGCATTCCGGAGGCCCTAGGCAGAAAAATATTTTTAACACGCAAAAATCATATTAAAAAGAGATAAACTGAGTAAGAGACACCATATAGAAAAAACATATTCAAAATGTACCATATAATATTTCTAATATTATAAGATTTTAAATGCGGGTATTTGACAATACAGTGTATGTTCCGAGTACTCTCTTCCAAAACGTGTATGTTTTAGAAACTCAATTGTGTCACCCTAAAAAAATCCCTTCTAGTTTTAGAACTTTATAACTTCAGTAATTATAACTTTAGTGTTTTTCAATTTATATATGCAATATTGATGTCATATTGAAGATCTCGAAAAATTATGAACATTGATATATTTTTATATTAAAATGGATAACAAATAAATAAATAAATTATAAAGCTTAAAAAAATGTGGGGATTTTTTGTTAAAGGTCCCACAACTAATTCCCTCTTTCTCTTATGCGTGGCGCCAATGTACCTGTTTTTGTCAAATAAACTCTGCCATAGTGTCGAACTGCAGAAGAATGCCTATACTAATAATAATAGGTTTTTGTTTTGAGGCCCTCTTGGTAAGTGAGGCCCTAGGCATTTGCCTGGCCAAACTCCCCCTATGGACGCCACTGATTAGCCCAATTGATTTGCTACTTCGGTTCCCTGCAAGGATGCAATGATATAATTG